TTTCATCGAACACCTTGTGTGCACTATTAAGTTAAGCATGGAATGTGAAAATTTCTAGCACACAAGGGCTCAAACAAACATGTGGGACATTGCCCAACACAATTCACACATAAAACAAGCCTTCCCCTCAGTCAATTGCACATAATTCACACATTGCAAAGTTGTTCTCTAAACATACACCGTAACACCCAATTCTCCACAATTCACAAGGTAAAGGGTAAAATCAAACCTGGAGACACAAGTAGAGGTGTAGGGGATGAGGAGGGGAAGGCAATGGAAGAGACAAAAATCCCAAAATCTGCCCGGAAATGCTCGTCGGAGCCTCGCCGGAAATCGCCTCCGGTGACCCAAATCCGGCCCAAATCGCCCCAAACTCAAGGTAAATGCCGAAAAGGATGAGGGAAGATTGGGTTGGGTGGTGGTTTGGTGAGAAACCGAGCAAAAATGGCCGAAAATCGCCAAAAAGAATTCAAAATCGCGGTTTTCCGGCGAGGGGTTGTGGGATTTTCTGGCGACGCGGCTGTGTCGGCCGAATTTATAGGCGCCGGGTCGGCCACACGGCCGTGTGAGGTGCAATACCGCCCGTGTGGGTCGACACGGCCTGGCCGAGGAATTTCACACGGCCGCGTGAAGGAGCACTCCTGGCCGTGTGGAAATCACCGAGCCTTCACACGGCCAGCCTGAAAATACGACACGGCCGTGTGAGGGACCCCTCCTGCCCGTGTGAAAATTCCAGGGCCTCCTCACGGCCATAAGCCAATTCCACACGGCCGTGTGGTGTTTAGGCCTGGCCGTGTGGATTTCCAGAGCCCCGAATTTGACCTAGGAAATGCAAACCTAGGTGGGGTTGCCTCCCCACAAGCGCTTCTTTACCGTCTTTTAGCTGGACGCCAGTATGGTGGATGCTCAGAGAGATCAAGGAACAGGTGTCTCCAAGAGCTGATCCACATCGCTCTTGAGGTACAGCTTTAGGTGGTGGCCATCCACACGACGAATGTGGCCACCAGCACTCGTCGACCTAGCCATCCGGCAGGATGCAAGCGAGTGAATACTCGAATGGCCAAGGCGGTTGAGGTTCAGGAGGCGGGACCAGCTCATAGTGGTCTCTCCGGTTTTCTTGTGAGCAGGCTTAGCTACCTGCACCTTCTGCCGCCACTCCTCCTTGAACTTGTCTTTGGGTAACGGAGTGGATGGGAGTGGCGGCGAAGATATGTGAGAGGGATCCTGCAAAATGGGAAGCACAGAAGGATACACAACAGACTCATGCTCCTGGTGAGAAACAACATGCAGAGGTGATGAATCAGGGAGAGTATTAGCAATGGAAAAGGTTATTCGCTCCTCGCCATCCCTCAAGACTAAGGTCCCATCATGTAAATCTATAAGAGCCTTGGCGGTAGCCAGTAAAGGCCTTCCCAGTATAAGGGGCACTCTGTGTCCTCATTGATGTCCAAGACAACAAAATCCACAGGATAAAAGAATTTGCCAACCTTAACCAGAAGGTCTTCCACTATGCCCCTAGGGTGAACTATAGATCGGTCAGCTAATTGAAGACTCATCCTAGTTGCACGGGGTTCACCTAGGCCTAGTTTCTTGAACAATTTATATGCTATGACATTGAAACTAGCACCTAGATCCGCCAAGGACCTCTCTACATGCAATTTACCGATAGAGCACGGGATAGTAAAACTACCTGGGTCCTTCTGCTTCTGCGGAAGCTTGTTCTGCAGAATGGCCGAGCACTCCTCGCTGAGCTCCACAGTGGCCAGCTCACTCAGCTTCTGCTTCTTTGAGAGAAGATCTTTCAGGAACTTCGCATACTTAGGCATTTGAGATAGTGCCTCCAGGAAGGGCACTTGTACATTGAGCTTCCTAAGCATGGACATGAAGTTGGGATGCTGGCGCCACTCCTCGTTGTACGTGTTACTGTAGGGGTCATTGCGCCTAGCATTATTGACGAAGTTCACTTGCTCCTGGGGTGTGGTCGACTCCCTCATCGCCTGGCAGTCTTCCACCGTGTGATGGGTGCTCTCGCACCACTGGTAGTGCATCGCTTGTTGTTGTCCGGTCCCTGGAATCATCCCAGAGCGATCAATGGCTGAAACCAGCTTCGATACCACCTGCACCAAATTAGATGACTAGGTGGCTACAACATGCACACCCCGCCCTGGTGCTCGTCTCGATCTCCTCGCAGTTCCCCAGTCATAGCCCTGCTCTGCCATCTCTTCAAAAAGTTGATTATGCTGTGGCGGTGTTTTGGTGAGCATATTCCCGCCACAGACCAAGTCAATCAGCTGCTTATCTTCCGGGAAGAGGGCATGGTAAAAGGTGCCCACCTTGAAGCGTCGGTAACAAAATTTCACGTTTCCCCAATAACCTAGAGGTTCCCCGGCAACGGCGCCAAAAACTTGACACGCTAAAACACAACACCAAACTGCGACCAAGTGTAATCGCAGTCCGGGAATGCAGTAAATTGGCAAGTTCTAATTATCAACCGTTTGCTTGTCCCCAAGCAAACCAAGTCAGATACAAGGTAACCTCACCATATTTCAATCATACCAACATTGGGGACAGATCATAGAGGCATAGAACACGCGAATCATACTGGCTTTCTAACATCATCACATGAACAACTTCAACAGCAACCTGGACAACCACAACAGAGGACATTCGAGTGCAGTAAAATCGGGTAAAGGAAGAGTCTCCCTTCTGTTCATCAACCAACATAGATTTGACTCAACCACTTAATCAAGACAGACACCTCATGAACAAAACTCAAGATATCAGAATTGAGACCATGCAATTTAGGTCCTTACCGGGGTAAAGAGTGTAGATAATATGAGAAAATGAATCGCTCACTATCGAGTAGTGGGGTCAGGACAATTTGATGCGAAAAATGCGCATGCTTATTCTCTCAATCCCTAACATCTCTTCACCATGACGGCAGCCTCTAAATGTTAGAGATCACATAAATGGGTGTGATGACTAACTAATCCGGAGGTCTTAGACACAGGTTCAAATGACTGGCTAGGGTCTTGGACATGGGGAAAAGGCCTTTTAGGTGGTGGAAGTATTCATAGCACAACGTTCCATAATTCCAAACCCAACACAATCAATGTCAATCAAACCACTTACATTCTTTCTGCCATTCTGCATTACTCACATTCTTTAGAGCACAAGAGCGAAGGAGGTCATATAAATGTTAGCATTTCCAAGCCAAACTGCTAAGAAACACTAGTTAATGGGCACTATTCAGATTTTTGGTGGTGGCTCTCTTTTGCTTTCATTAATTTTTTTTCTTTTTGTTTTCTTCTTTTCATTTCTTGATAGAACCACCACCTATGCACACTTTTCAAACACATGCCCAACTTTTTTAAGAACTACCTCCGACCCTCACATCTTATTCAGCAGAAATAGAAGAGAACATGTAAAAACATGTGTATATATCAAGTCATCACCTTGTGATGTAGGCACCTCCATGGATGGTCTTGATTTGTTTGTTGGAGGTCATCTTCTGTAGGGTTTTCAGTATGACTAAACCAAGATGAATTGGGGGATCATTTACCATAGAGTGGAAAAAGTTCAAATCCCGCTTGGTCACACTCCCCGGGCTCCCCTCCCTAGCTGCCACAGAATGAGCGATAATGTTGTGGATGATACGCCATGGGGGAAGAAGATCATTCCTTTTATAGTGGGCAGTGTCAGACTTTGCCACATGGTTTTGTTTTACCGTTCTCCACGTAGCATTGACCAATGGTGCTCTTGGTGAATATATTTTCTCTGAAATCAAACCATGTCCATCTATAGTGAGAAATCTTGGTGGGTATATCTGTAGTGCCTGTGTGAACTCAGTGATGCTCATCTGTCTCGCCTGTCCTCCTAGACGAAAAGTTATGTTGTCTTCGGGCTTGTCAAGGTTAAACTCGGACATATACTTGATGGAGAGAGTGCTGAGGAACTCAATGGTAAGCTCTCAGTAGATGACCTCATTGATGGAGAGAACCTCACACCATGCCGGGAGACGGAGGCATGTGCGAACAGGGTCCGCTGCTCCGAGGCGCTCTAGGGGATCCCAATCAAAGCATCTTTGATGCCCAAATGGGAGGGGAAGGAAGTGCTCCAAAGCCCTCCTATGTTCGTCGGGTAGTTGCAGGAAGCCGTGCAGTCCCCCTCCTCCAAGTTGAGCCTCCGTTTGTGGTGGTGGTGGTGGTGGAGATAGTTGACGTGCCCGTCCTTGGTTGTTTTTGCTTTGTCATTTGGGGGGAGTGTCTCGTTGTTGGGTTTGGCGGCGATGACTAGAAGGAGCCTTCACTTTGGCAGGTGAGGCTGATGTTTGCGTGGTTTTTTGTTTAGCTTTCCCCATTCCTACAAAAACCAACTAAGCACATTTAGTCTTTAGTGAATGAGAGGGAAAAGAATATATAGACTTAGAGACTTCTCCCTTGACGTCTCTTTGAGTATTTCATCCTCGTCGATCTCCAAGGTATCCTCTACTATTGTAACTCCCCTTGGGGCTGGGGTGATACCGGACAAAACATATTTTCCAAACTCGCTACAATCCTTGGTCAGGGGTCTTTCACCCATTGCATCCCTCCCACTCAAAACTTCTCTCTATGTATTTCGATCTCTCTGTATTTCAATCTCTCTCTGTATTTCGATCTCCATCTCTTTGCTTCCTTCCTTGTCCAAGGATAGTATCGAGTTTGGAAAATATGTTCTCCTTCCTTCCTTCCTTCCTTGGAGATCGACGAGGTGGAATACTCAATGTGACGTCAAGGGAGAAGATCCCAGGAGCATTCTAATCACGTCTACACCATCAATTCCTTGATCAAGTAGCACATTACTATGTCAAACTAAGATGAATATGATGATTTCACAGCATAAAGGTTAGCCACAATGGATTTGTAAAGATATGCTTTAGTTTGTAAATATTTATGCTTTTTTCAGATGAAAGTACAAATAAAGAGTGGAGATTATCAATATGAATAATACTCAGTGAAGTCTTCTGTTTGGCCTTATGATTGTAGTTGGCTAGTTGCTATACCCTGCAATTTTCACTCCTGCCATTATGAAGAACAGTTAAGTCAGCACTAAGAAAATACCAAAAAACAAAGAGAGAGCATTGCAAGAACAGTAGAATGACATTCAGGAGGCTGTTGCGGGGTGAAGATAGAAGAAGAACAAACCATGAAGCCTTCTGGAGAAGTCATCCCACCAATCCAAAGAGCATTGAGAAGCTGCTGAACTAGCAAGTTCTAGTGTTGAATACAATGTATGCCTTTAACTTGGGAGACAACAAGTTCTAGTGTAACATACAATGTAGGAGCAGAACAATTAGGAATGTAATCACAATTAGGAATTCAACACCCTAATTCAGACCAACCTTGGGCAACTAAACCCTAAAAAATGAAAGAAACCAGAGAAGAGTGTCGTTGTGGTTAAGAAGAACTCACCAGAGGCGCTGTGGGAATCGAAGTGGAACAGAAGGCAGGGACTCGTGGGGAAATGGTCGTCGTCGCCGCTGAACCTTGGCGCAGTTACCAGGAGGAGGAGTCGTGGGGAAGTGGTCGGCGGCGGAAGAATCTTGGAGTAGTTACCAGGAGGAGTCGAGGGCGAGCGAGCGAGGGCGAGGGTTGGGGGTCGAAGTAGAACAGAGGGAGAAGAGGGTTGGGGGTCGAATTAGAACAGAGGGTTGGGGGTTGGGTTCTAGTAGAACAGATGAAGTTTCAAATAACAAGGTTTCAAATTTTAGGGTTCCCATCTCACGGCTTTTATCCCGGGCGGGATATTGCCAACTCCAACCCGTGAAAACCCCTGGAACTTCCCCCTTTTTTTTAAATCTAACGGTACATCTCCCGGCCGTGAGATTTCAGTTATGAGGCGTGTTTTTGGATTTTAGCTGCGAACATCTCACGGGTTAATCTCACGCTCGTGAGAATTTACAGATGAGCCGTGAGAAGTCCAGCATTTCAAATCAAAAACCACGGCTCATGTCACGGCCGTGATATTTTCGAAGCCAACCCGTGAAAACCCCTGAAACTTCCCCCTTTTTTTAAATCTAACGGTACATCTCCCGGCCGTGAGATTTCAGTTATGAGGCGTGTTTTTGGATTTCAGCTGCGAACATCTCACGGGTTAATCTCACGCCCGTGAGAATTTACAGATGAGCCATGAGAAGTCCAGCATTTCAAATCCAAAAACACGGCACATCTCACGGCCTTGATATTGTCGAAGCCAACCCGTGAAAACCTCTGGAACTTCCCCCTTTTTTAAATCTAACGGTACATCTCCCGGCCGTGAGATTTCAGTTATGAGGCGTGTTTTTGGATTTCAGCTGCGAACATCTCACGGGTTAATCTCATGCCCGTGAGAATTTACAGATGAGCCATGAGAAGTCCAGCATTTCAAATCCAAAAACACGGCTCATCTCACGGCCGTGATATTGTCGAAGCCAACCCGTGAAAACCCCTAGGAAACTGAGAAGTGCATTTTTACATCCACGAACTCTCTCACGGCCTTTCTCATGGCCGTGATATTTCCAGAATTTCAAATCCAAAAACACGCCTGCTTTCACGGCCGTGAGATTTCCAGAATTGGCCGTGAGATTTCCAGAAATAGTCTGCACGGACATTCACCCGTATAACTAACCCCTGTACTTATTATAATGGTGTAAGAAACATAATATACAGTTTTTGAAAACTACAAGCTTATGAAAAGATGAGTCATAATGTTCTTTGAAGCTAGACACGAGCATTACATAGATCCATTCAATGTCACTAGATACTAACTTGCACAAAACAAACATTACAAGATGAAAAATAATGTTGTTTGAAGCCGAACACCAGCATTACAGGTTGTGCTTGGATTGTTTGGGAAGTAGAACAGATTCTTGAGTCTCCACATGAAAGCTGCTTTCACCTGCTCCTATGGACTCGAAGTTGTATTCTTGTTGCGTGAAATGACTATCACGTGCACCTGCTTCAGCCATTCTTTTCAGCGGACAATTTCTGATAGTATGTTTAGGACGCCTACAATACTTGCACAACGTTTTTTCACTTGAGGTTGCTTCACATTCCCTTTACTTCGAACTGGATGGGGGTCCTTAATAAACTGAGAGGAGTTCACTCCAGCATCCGTAGTAGCATTATTTGTTTTGCTGGTTGTTTCTTCACTTATTGTCTTCACTCACAAGGTCAAGTCTTCAATCAACCCTTTGGCAGTATGAAATGCTTCATCCGAACTCACAACATAATGGCATATTCTACTACATTGACCAACCAAGAATCCAAACCTGTCCAAATAAATAAGTACTTTTGTAGTTGGTTCCAAACACAATAGAAGTAAACAAAGAACTAAATCAGCAGCTTAAATTTATAATACCTGCTAATATTTTGCTGGGTAGGACAGCTTCCCATACTCGAGGGATCGAACTCTTTTGCATCTTTAGTCCAACGCTTCAAAATGAGTGACTTTTGGAATTTGTATTTGATTTTATGCTTTCAATATACAGAATATATGCCGACATGGAATTTCCCAGAACTCAAAAATGCCACAAGAACAATGCACATCATGTACACTCGTGTAAAAGACCACGGTGCACTTTGAGTCAGGGTATTTGAATCGTGACAATGTGTAAATTGTTTTATTGGTCAACACACACTTGTCTATAATATAGTAATGAACTTCTCTCGCTATTTCTGCTCGAACGCTCCTGAACACATTTCTTGTATATACTATAGAGGCATGCCTTTCAATTTCATGTAAATGTGTCATCAAAACAACATCAGTGTGTATTGTCTTAAACTGGTCATGTAATTCAGTTTGTCTCCTATACAAAAGTGTCATGTCAAACTGCTTGACAAACTCAAACAACTTCATCTTACTTTGCAAGAATTTGTCTGGATAAGAGTTCATGCTCTCACAACATTGTGACGTAGTCATCCCAGCAAAGAAAGTACCTTTCAAGTAAGTTGTGGCCCATAGAACTCGTCGCCTATACATCTTCTTCATCCACGCATTGTGATCCAGGTCATACTTGGACAAAATTTCCTTCCACGTAGCTTCAAATTGTGGAATAGAACTGCAGTTTAGCATGTATTGTTTGAAATCCTCCCCGAAGCCTTCCGCATGGCCACGTGCTTCTGTGTTATTGCCCAAGTGCCAAGAACATAACCGATGTCGGGATCCAGGGAGAACCGACTTAATAGCTTTCCTCATTGAAGAACAACCATCTGTTATAACTGTGGTTGGCTTCTTACAACTCATGCAAAGTAAAAAGCATTTAGAATCCATACGTAGTTCTCCGCCGTTTCATCCTCAAGTAAAGCACATGCAAAAACAGTGCTTGCATTGTGATTATTCACACCAATGAATAGAAGAAATGGAAGATTATATGCATTAGTCTTGTACGTCGAGTCAAAAACAAGAACATCTCCAAAGAGACTATAATCTAATTGTGAAGTAGAGTAAGGCAGTCAGCCCATAACATATTGTCTAGTTCACCACCATCACTTACTGTATATCTACAATAAAAACGAGGATCGGTAGTTGCCCGTGCTTGTAAGTAGGCAAGTGCAGCTTCACTATCACTATCCAAGATCTCCGACCTCCGATCCGCACTAACAAAAGTGTAGACATCGGTCTTAATGAAACCCAAGTTCTGAAAGCTTCCCGCACAATTCACTAGATAATCCATGATTTGATTGGTGCGAACACCAGCAGCCCTAAGTGATCGAATCTGAGCCTTACTAGCGTCATCTACCTTGCGATGAGAACTCAAAAACTGCACTTCATGTGCTCCAGCTAAGTGATGAAAGTGTGTTGGTACAAACTGCTTCACCTTGAATCGGTTAGTTGCCTCAACAAATCTGACTTTGAAAGCAGCCGGACAATGGAGCCTTGTTACAGGCCTAGGTTCACGCTTTCTGTTCTCCTTGTCATTGTGCACTGGCTGACGCTCCCCCTCGCGTGAGCAAACCCATTGCTGCATATTTCTAACTCCATATTTTGAATATGTGTGTGTTCTTTCGTACGCTGAATCCCATGGCGCAACCATAAGTTGAATAGAACTTGCCAGCCTCCACAAGGTCATCCGATTGCCATTTAGAATATGGCTTCCCATTCCCGACTTTATCAAGCAGAGTCTAGTCATACATACTCGAGTACGGTGGGGCCATGGCTGGATTTGCAGCATCTTTGTGTAGAGGTGCATCTGAGTTGTGTGGTTGTGTTTCGAAGCTGTGCAAATGCTCATCTGAGATGTTCTCCTTATCATCATCACCAATGTTAGTGTTATTATCATCCTCAGAATTACTATCGCTGTGTCAACATTGTACTCCATATCGTCACTATCCCTAACACCACCGGTATCATCTCCATAATCCATTCCCCAATCTAAACCAACATTCAAGTCAATTCTCGTGTCCTTGCCTGTGCTCATAACATCCATCAACCCTTCCATAGTTGATCAACTAAAAACAACCAACAAAATGAAGTTTAGAGACAATTGAAATCCACATATTCACCACCCACAACCGACCAAAACAAACACTTCACTAATCAATTAACAAGCAACGAAAAAATATTAGAGGCATATGCATATAAGCCACATAGTTTCTGTGCATTTTTAAGAATCCTCCAAGCCCCATGTTAACCTCAAAAGGCAGCCCTTTCACCCCCTCATTACTTATGATTCTGCAGATCCTCAAATCACACATCAAAATGGTTCAAATAAAATGATTGATAAAGAATGTGAACCAAAATCCAGGACATGAAGTCAAAGTTGCTTTTTCTGCCTCCCTGGCTATATGCAGGAGCAGGAATACTAACCAGAAAACACACGCTTTAAAATTCGAATGACAGTGATTCACGTTCTTCCACAATGTGAAAGCTAAGACACTTCATATCTCCAGAAAAATTCGGCCAGGGTGCTCAATACCCAGTTCAGAACGCAGAACAGACACACTCAATCGCCATGAAACGAAACAAACACGAGCCAAGTCCGAGTTAAGCAAACTCTGCTCGATAGTTTCCCCTTCACTTCCGCGACAAACCAACCATTCACAAATGAAATGAAGCTAAGCAAGATCACAATTTACAACACCCACCAAATTGAACAAAGAAGACAACCAGAACTGATCCTCTTTTCAATCAACATGAAAACCATACATGAACACCATTACTGCCAACAATTTACAGTTTTGAGCCACCACAATCCCCAATCTTCGAACCCACCATAACATACCACTAATTCTGTCTCGTCCCCTCAACCGAACCATTAAACCATATATTAAAACAAAAAACCCAAATCAAAACCATTAACTCCTCAAACCCCCCACGAAAAATCACGCAAGCCCTTACCTATTAAAACCCACTTGCTCTCTCTGCCTCGTCGTCGTCTCGGCTAGAAACGATTTGTCTCCGTCGCGAAGGATGGGTGGCGAAGGATGGGCGAATAAGGGAGAATGGAAAATCGATGGTTGCGTAGAGAAGGGAAGACGAAGGAATGGAGATAGGAAGAATCTGGCTTCGTAATATTG